TATCAACAAATGGAACGAATCTCTCTCTCTCTCTCTCTCTCTCTCTCTCTCTCTCTCTCTCTCTCTCTCTTGTGCGCACTCTTAGTCTCATTGCTTTGGCTACCTTAGGGCTGCGTTCCCTGCGCCCACGCGGTAGACAATAGTCTATTTCGATAGAACAACCAGTATACTAAATCGGGATACCTTCAGACCTACTATAGTAGCACCGGTTCACAAACTGGTCTAGCTTTGGCTGCTTCCTTGACCAGGCCGTCTTTACCCGAACAGAACGCCCGGTCATTATAGCTGTAATTCGCGCAACTTTCAGTCTTGATACAGCCATAATAACCGGGCATTCTACTCAGGTGAAAAGGGGGAACCCAAAAACATTATTAATCAGCATTCAGCAAGCCAAAAAATAAGAATAGCAATAACACCTTTGAAAAATCATGCATGCCAACGCCCTATGTATTGCACTTCCACACTTCCACCAGATTGCACCTGCTTGTAAGTGTGAGTTTCACCAGCTCTTTAGCGAGGCGCTCCCATGCGTCACTGAAGGTGTGCTGGTGGTCCTGGCAAATCATGCCAGGGCCCAGGGTTATCCCCGGGACTTGAGTTCTGAGCTGATGCTCAGCGCTGGTGAGATCACTGCCACTGGCGCTGAGTCGCTGGCATGCTGCTGAACTCGGTGTAGTGCTTATATGATTGTACTTTTCCCTCCTTTTTTTTTGAATTAATGTCTTCCCTCTCATTTTCTTCTCCCTGCCCCCTCCTTTTACAAACAATTAAATACAACAACAACAAATAAATGAATGAATGTATGAATCAATGAATGAATGAAGGATGGTACCCATCTTCAACTTCTTGTCTGCGCGAATCGAAATCCTGAAAGCACCTGTACTTGATATGCCCTGCTGCTGCAGCTCCTGGGTTCTTGTGAACAGTGCGCATCCGAAAATCAATAGAGCCCACCAAAGCCATAATTCTCATGCCTAGAAAATCCCAGGAGTTGGAAGAGTCATTTTGGCGGACCGGACTCAACTGTTCACCATATGCTAAAGGCAAACTTATCCTGTATCGTCTCTGCTGAGCTGACGCTGGTAGGGTCCATGAAATTGGAGGCAACAATGAGTGTAACATTATCTACCAGTCTCACCCCATGGCCCATTCTCTGATCTCTCCCCAGTGAAAAGAGCTGATGAAGTCAGCTTCAAATTCCGCACAAAGTGTGTAGGCAAGGGGGGGACTGGGGTTCCTCCCCATGGGAATGCACACCACCTGCTTGATGATTTTCCCTTTGCACATGACGTATGTATTGGACAGCTCAAACTCGACTCGCTGCCAGATTGCCTTAAACTTCATGTCAACAGAACATGGTCCTGGGCCCTTCCGGTTCAGATAGATGGCCTTACCTCTCCTGCTGAGGCTGTCCGGTTCAGTTAGATGACCTTCCCTCTCCTGCTGAGGCTGATCCTGCTGACGTCTTTTTCCTGCCATTGATATAGCAGCCCAAAAATCAACCAGTTGGATACTGTTGCGGTGGGGGAAGTGGGTGAACATCTCCTTAATGTCATGTAAGTTGATATAACTGGCTGCTAAGGCCAGTGTCATGTTCTCTGCAATACTGAGCATCTCATCTGCCGGCCGGTTTGAGGTTACCCTTCAGAGGAGAGTTCGCTGTCAAGTTGAAGTGCAACTGTAGGTGCCTTTCCAGCAGAAAGCTTTTTTTTTTCGTTTTGTTCCCAGCAGAATGTTAAGCGCCCTTGCAATCCGTCTTCCGACTGTCGTTGGTGCATGCAGGCGCTGCGGGCAGCAAGTAGAGTAGATACTGGAGCTAGTAGTCTTTTGGCCAAGGCTCAGTGATCAGCAAGCACCTGCTTCACAGCGCTATTCTTGCGCCAAACCACTCGTTGACACTTCATTGCTATTTTTATCACCAGCGGCAACCTGCTCTTTTCAAGACAGAATAACAATCTTGCAAATTGATCTCGTCTTGAGAGCCTGTGGTTTGAATTTCACCCCCACAGTCATCTTGCATTTGACATTGACACCGCGTCTTGACCCGTATGATAGCTGCAGGCGTTTTCGTCTTGAAAATTCGTGCCCACACATGTGGAGATACACCATCTTCGTCGTCACCTTCTGTTTTTTTTTTATAATGTGGACGATTTCTTGACTAATGCGTGTCATCCTTGCACAGTGGCCATGCCAATCTTCTTTCTCTGTATGGTTCCCATTTTAACGGATGTCCCGAAGGACAGAAACACTAGCTTCTGGACATCAAACTTTTTTCAATTCTCCCCTTTTTCTTTGTATCCCAAGCAACTGTCTCAAGTGAGCTCTTCCTACGGAACTTTGCGTTCTCTGTCCTCAACACCGGTGCTACCCTGAGCATGCCACCTTCTTCTTATCTCCCTTTTGGCCTCGGCTAACGGCAGTTTTCCCGCCTCGAATATGCGTTTGATGCTTGACCATTGCTCACTCCAAATCTGTCCCCATGTGCTTATGAACACTGATGTCTTTGCTCCTCTTGAATTCGCTTCTTCAAGGAGGTTGCTCAAGCATGTGTACTTTCTCCCGTTCTCTTGCTCTGTAAGTGTGATGAGCTGGGTCCTGTGCTGCTGGTGCTGTTCCCTGCATCTGTTATGGCTCCTTTGTTTTCTAGCAGGTCTCCTGTGTTTTGCTGTCGCTGCTCGTCCTACCACGTTCAATGCCATTGAGATTCGTGCAATGCACGGACTCCTCCATGTCAACTAGTGACTCGCTTACCCCGGTGGCAATAGGTGGCACCAGACATTTGTTCCAGCCATAGGGAGAGCACGCACTGAAGCTCTGCCTTTATTCCCGGTCTCGGCACAGCGTATGTGCTCCCACCATCTCTCTCCCGCTCCACGTGGTCCGTCCTATGTACATGCTATTGCACCAAGGTGGCACACGGCAGTGGCCGGCGGTCCTTTTGAGGTTGAAGAAATTGTGGTGTTGTGGGCAGCCTGAACAGTTCAGTTGCCCAAGGTACGTTCCCAAATATCGTTAGCAGGATTAAAAAAAAAAAAGCAATTAAAGCCTTCTCCACCACCACTTTCCGTTTAGTTAGGCCATGGGTCCGCCATACAAGATCTCTGAGGCCCATGTACATAGACATTTTGTCCCAGAGTTGTGTTGCCGGGGGTAGACACTGTCATTTGGTATATGTGGTGCTGCTTCAACCTCAGACAGATCATCACCCTTGTTACTGCTGGAGCTGTCCGCTCCAGTCAACCATCCCTTATATACAAGCCTTGTCTTGTATGCAACTAACTGTTTCACGACGTGGTCCTTAACAATGCACACGATACATTTATGCTTGCACGGTTTGCTTCAGCGCCGGAACCTTCTTCACCATCAGGCTTTCCCTAATGCCGAGTATGAACTCCCACCTTAGAGCATGAAGCCACGACCCCTTTCTTCTTCTCTGCATCCCCGTTCTCTGGATTGCTTGGTGTGTGGGTCGATGCCGATCTCTTCTTCATCATGATCACCGGAGGTGCGACACATTCGTCCCTCTCAGTGGCTCGTACTCCACGTCTTCAAGTTCTAACTTCCTTCCTTCGTTAGCTCTGGGCTTCCCCCGCCTCTCAATGTACTAGCATCCTTGCCATCTGTCTGACTCATATACCTGTGTAGGCCATCAGACAACCTCGAACCTCTCTCCGCGGACGAGGCAGTTGTGGCTGTCTAGTGTGCTGCACCCGCTGCTGCCGAATCTGCCCTTCAATTTGCTGCAGCTGCTTGTCAAGCATGCTGCTACTGATGTCTATCTAGTTTATCCCTTCCTTCCGGGCCGCCTACCGATGGTAGCATCTCTTCTATTGCTGATTGCACCTCAATCTGCTGCAGCTTGCCTTGAGCCGCTCTAGCATCCGACGGTGCTCTGCTTCCTCCCTTTGCCTTGGCTTCTTACTGCTTCTGTTTCTCCTCCTCGAGGCGTTTCTTTTCCAAGCTTATTAGCTCTCCTCCAGTTGTTGCTGTTCCATGAGGCTAAGCAATCTGTTTGTCCTGTCGTCATTCTCAGACTCTTCCTTGGCCAGCAATGCAAGCTGGCCCACCTTGTCCGTACCTACTTCCCCGCTGTTGCTGTAGGAGTTATTCTGCTGTTGCGTCATCCCCCGGTTGCGATCAGTTGGTCTGTTAGGACGATCCCTAGCATAGTGCCCTTGTTCCCAGCATCTGTAGCATTGAGGACCAACTGGCACGGGAGAGGTATGGGGGCGTTGGAAAATCCTGGGTTAGGGGGAGGTGGAGGAGGTGTGTGTGTGGGGGTTGCATCTTGTTCCGGCGGAAGTCTGAATCGATATGCGTTTATCTGCTACCTTTGGGGGCTACATCTACTCCTCAAACAGTTAGCCCTAGCTCTCGGATAGACGTAAGCCTACTTCCTCTTTTTCTGCTTTCTCCCCATCTACGTGTGCTGCCGGCCGCAAATACAGACTCCACGATCACTTGACTCGAGTTACAGAGAGTAGGTGTCTGGCCTCGACACTGCTATGGGAGTATCATCAACCTGTATTAAAGTTCTAATTATATATACAGCCAATGCGTGAGCTGCAAATAAATCAAGTAAGGCTTTTCACGAATCTATTGCGAGCCAAGCTTTGAAGATCGTTGCAGGTAACAACCTGGGCCCGGTTCCCAGCATGTGCTGCTCCCCACGAATAAACTGGAGCATTTGTCCAAAAAAAAAAAAAAAAAAAAAAAAAACCATCACAGGCGGCTACAGGAGAGCCACTGACCTCTCCAAGCTCGCATGTGTATACACATACGATGCATCCTCAAAATCTGCTGCGAGAACAAAGCAACTTAACAAAAAAAATCTACACTACCGTTGCATGAAGCCGGGTGAGAGATGGTTAACGGGGGGCCAAATATTCGCCGTTTTCGCCGGCAAT